CAGGATCATGACCTGAGCCGAAGGCAGTCGCTTAACCAACTGAGCCACCCAGGCGCCCCTCTTTTCACTTTTTTACATTTGTCTTTGGTTATTTGTTTTTTCCTCCTAATTTCATGTATGTCCTTTTAAAAACTGAGCTCATTTCATTTCAGCCCTTTGAAGATTTACTGTTTTCTTTTGTAAAGTTTTTCCTCCTTTTTGTCTTCTCTACAATTGTTCCTAAAATTTATTGTCATAATTTGAATCCTCTTTCTCTTTGGAATATTAGACATTGGATTATATCTGTTTTGTTTTTTGGGTGTGTGTGTGTGTGTGTGTGAACTTTGTGATGTGAGTTCCTCATATCTAGAGTACTACTCTGATTATGCCCCATAGTCTTGGTCTTTACTCAACTCTCAGATGAAAGAACCATTTTGTCCCAAGAGATTTCCACTTAGGATCCTAGCTTGTTGCTTAGGACAGTTCAGTAGCTTCTCTTTGCTTCTCTCCACAGTGAATTCTGTGGGGTTGTGCAGTGGCAGGACGGGGTGCGTGCTTGAGGGCCTGCAGTGTGGAAGGGCACAGGGTATTGTGCTGCAGGTTCCCTGACCTTGGGCTGGATGATGTCATTGCTTTGTGCAGTTTCCCTGATTGGGCCCAAAAGGAGGAAGGATAGGTGGTGACCTTGCTGAAGAGTCACTGCGGCATCTCATCATCTCATCTGGTTGGGGTTTGTGTGTCCCCTTCCCTAGTTGGCCCGTGGCTCCCTCGTTTATGTTAAGGTAAAAGGGATTCGAGAAGGAAGTCTAGAGTAAAGGACTTTGTTTTGAAGATACTATAATTTGGAGCAGTTTCCAAACTTGGAATTTGGCGTGGAATATGTATACATATGTGTAGGGAAGTCTGGAAGGATTTTTTTTTTTAGATTTTATTTATTTGACAGAGACACAGGGAGAGAGGGAACACAGCCAGAGGAGTGGGAGAGGGAGAAGCAGACTTTCTGCTGAGCGGGGAGCCCGATGTGGGACTCGATCCCAGGACCCTAGGATCATGACCTGAGCCAAAGGCAGATGCTTAACGACTGAGCCACCCAGGTGCCCCAAGTCTGGAAGGATATTAAGTCATTATCTCTGGATAGTGGAATATTAGGGGATTTTAATCAGTTTTTATTTTTCATATCTTCTTATTTGAATATTCTGTAATCACAAAAAGGAAAGGGAAAATCTTAAGCATGTAACTAAAATGTGACCTTTTGAAATAGTACAAAACTATACAGTCTCCCCATTGGATCAGGAAAGGAAGCAGCATAGTATATTGGAAAGTGCACAGGATTTATGGACACTTGGGTTATAAAAGACTATAGCTGGGGTGCCTGGGTGGCTCAGTCATTAAGCGTCTGCCTTCGGCTCAGGTCATGATTCCAGGGTCCTGGGATCGAGCCCTGGGGATCGGGCTCCCTGCTCCACAGGAAGCCTGCTTCTCCCTCTCCCACTTCTCCTGCTTGTGTTCCCTCTCTTGCTGTCTCTCTCTCTCTCGCTTGCTCTGTTAAATAAATAAATAAATAAACAAACAAATAAAAATAAAAATAAATAAATATATTAAAAAAAAATCTTTACCAAAAAAAGTAACACACTAAAAAAAAAAAAGACTAGCTAATAGGAGGAGGAGGGCTTGGTGGTAATAGTAATAGCATAGGATAAAGACCAAGGTTTTTCTTGTGGCCTACAAGGCCTTTTAAGGCGCAGGTGCTTCTTCCCCAGTTTGCCCTCTCCTGCTCCTCTGTCATGCCCGCTCTGTGCTGCTGGTATCAGAGCACTCGGAGTACATGGGATGCTTTCTCTGCCTCTGAGCTTTAGCACGTGCCATTTGGTCTTTTAGCCGGGATGCCCTTCCCACTTCTGCCTGTTGGTGTGGTTTCTTTTTTTCTTTTTAAAGATTTTATTTATTTGACAGCATAAGCAGGGGGAGTGGCAGGCAGAGGGAGAGGGAGAAGCAGACTCCCCACTGAGCAGGGAGCCCGATGCAGGACTCGATCCCAGGACCCTGGGATCATGACCTGAGCCGAAGGCAGCCGCTTAACTGACTGAGCCACCCAGGCGCCCCTGGTGTGGTTTCTTTAAAGCTTTGCCTTATTCCTTTCTCTGCAAATGAGTAAATCACTTTTTTCTTTTGTTACCTTTGAAAGGTGCTACTGGTCCTGTTACTTTTGAGCCATGGACGTACATTTTTGTTGTACTTACACTGTGTAATCTTGATAGTTACTTTTTATATTCTCAGTGCTTTACTTGGTGCCCACACATAGAAGATGTTTAAGAGGGGCGCCTGGGTGGCTCAGTTGGTTAGGCGACTGCCTTCGGCTCAGGTCATGGTCCTGGAGTCCCGGGATCGAGTCCCGCATCGGGCTCCCTGCTCGGCAGGGAGTCTGCTTCTCCCTCTGACCCTCCTCCCTCTCATGCTCTCTGTCTCTCATTCTCTCTCTCTCAAATAAATAAATAAAATCTTTAAAAAAAAAAAAAAAGATGTTTAAGAATGTGGAATTCAGTTGACTTGGGGCCTAAGACTTTTATTTATTTATTTATTTAAGTAATCTTGGTATGCTGTGTGGGGTTTGAACTCCCCACCCCAAGATCAAGAGTCACATGTTCTTCTAACTGAGCCAGCTAGGTGCCCCTGGGGCCTAAGACTTCTGAAAATTTTTACTTTCAAGTAAATTAATGTAGTAAGCTTCAATTAAGCATGTGATTCTTGACAACAGAAAATGAATTGAGACAGGGAGCTGCAGGAGGCCCTGTATTGCACTGCAGTCGATAGTTGCATGTATGGTGGGCCTAGTTGTCGGAGCTGACTTGTGTTCAGTAGGCATGCAAGGTGAAATGTACTCCTAGGCTGTGGACTCTAGATTTCCATTCATACAGCACAGCTAGGGTTGGTTTTTTGTTAGTGCGAGCAGTGGTGGAGGTGGAAAGAGAGAGATAATCCTAAATGGGGTCCATGCCCAGCACCGAGCCCGATGCAGGGCTCCATCATGCAGGGCTCCACCGCATGACCCTGAGATCATTACCTGAGCAGAAATCGAGTTGGATGCTTAACCAACAGAGCTACCCTAGGCCACCCCTAGCCAGAGCTAGGGTTTTTACATCATTTTTACTACCTTAGGAAGCACCAATGTTCTAAATTGTCTTAGGTGTGATCACGGGGTAGTGGTTACGAATTATGGTTACGTAGTAGGAAAATGTTCTTGTCCTTAGAAGATACGTATTGAAGTATTTAGGGCTGAGGTGTGGTGTCTGCAGCTCACTAGTTGACAAGCAGTACATGTAGATATGTAAAGTAAATGTGGCAGAATATTCACAATAAGTCAAATAGGTATTGAACTATTCAAATTTTCTATTTTTGAAATTTATTATTAAAAAATTGGGGAGGGGCGCCTGGGTGGCTCAGTCATTAGGTGTCTGCCTTCGGCTCGGGTCATGATCCCAGGGTCCTGGGATCGAGCACCGCATCGGGCTCCCTGCTCAGCGGGAAGCCTGCTTCTCCCTCTCCCACTCCCCCTGCTTGTGTTCCCTCTC